TTAGTTTGTGTTGGTATTTTTTCCAGACCCGCAATAAAGCATTTCTTAAAATATGATTTTTAAAATTCTTATCCAATTTTTTGTTGAATAACAGATAAGCATGCCAACCATATACCAGGTTGTGTCCCTCAATATTCAATATTCTATCATTAGTTAAATGAGTCCAGTCACTAATTACAGATAACGCCACTGCATCATAATATAGTTTTAGGTTAGGTAATTTCAGGCCTCCTCTCTCGCGTACATCTTGCATTATATCCAAGCCCAAATTTCAATAGCTCTCTTCTGCCAGCATGAGTTGGACAGGCCGATCCACTGAGGAAAAACAGCTCCTCGGATATCCTGGACCCACAGAGGACTTTAAAGGGAATGACCAACATCTTGAATTGGATCTGGAAGCAGATTGGCAGCCAGCACAGCTCACATTACATGCCACTCAAGCAGCTTCCAAAACGGTCTGCCCTATTGCATTCTGAACCAATGGTAGCTTCCGAATATTCTTCAAGGGTCGCCACATATAGAGTGTGTTGCAACAATCCAAATGGCAGATGACCAGGCCATGAGTGACTGAGTGCAGGGACTCATGTTACAGAAAGGGGCGCAATTGGCACATAACACAAAGCTGTGCAAAGCTCTCCAAGCCACAACTGCTACCTGCTATTTGAGCAGCGTCACAAGCCTAAGAGAACCCTCAAGTTGCACACCAGGCCTGTCAGGGGCAGGGTCACCCCATACAGAACTAAGGGTGAGAAACCTCTGGCTCCTGAGATTCCACCTCCCCACTTTGTCTTAGGGTTCAGATGAAGCCTGGGTGTCCCCCATCCAGTTCCCTACTGCCTCCAGTCACCGCAAAACAGCAATGTAGGCTCCCATGGCTACATGAGTCATTACACCTTGGGCTCTGGTGTGACAACACCCAAAGATCAGTGGGCTGAATCCACAACAATTCCACCCTTGAGAGAATTTTACCTTCTTCCGTGCATTTTCTGTCTTGTCCTGCTTGGCTTGATAGAGGGTGCTCTGATAGACGAGGACCAGGCTCTCATCGAGATTCACCAGCATGGCGTTGGGGTTCTTCATTGCCGAAAAGGTTTCAGAGGGAATCTGACGGTCAATGGCTTCATTAATGGCGATCACGGCTGCGTGCACTGCAGGTGAGACAAGGCGAGAAAGGTTTGGCTCCATTGCCACAAGCAGCAGCACAGCCTTCCTTCTGGGCAAGGAAGGAGCCTGGGAAGAGCTCCATTCCCAGAAGCCGGACTCCCGCCCCACGCAGAGGTCTGGCCAGAAGGGCAAGTCTGCATTTCTTTGGGCCAAATATTCTGCGATTCTGTTGAGGAATACATAGCGTGTCTGTAACTCAGTCTCTAATTAGGAAATGCCTCTAATGAGAACAAAGGGAACCTGATTTCCACTTACATGCTGCTTCATCCAGAGACAGCTCATTAGCTAGAATCCCGCCAATCTTGCCAAAGGCAGGCATCTGAATGCCATACTTCTCCAATTCGCTCCTCATGTTGCTGATTTCTTCCTCTGAAACAGAAGGGAAAGAGACATCTTGGGACTGGCAGCCCACAGGTGCAGGAAGGCAGAAACAGAGAGATGCTGGGAGCTCCTTCTGCAAGGCCAATCCTCCTGCTCTTGAGGCCTGGCCAACAGCCAGGGCATCCCTGCAAAGAGCTGGGCAAAGGCGGGGAGTAGGTCCAAGAGCTGCACCCCCACTCTTGGGGAGAGCAGCAGAAAGGAAAGGCTTCTCTTACCTGTGAAGTCCACTTTGCCATACAGATCCTGAATCTGTGGAGCTAATCCCAACTTGAATAGGTACAGGCTGGAAAAAAAAAGGAAAATCAAGCACACCAGAAGCTCCAGCCCCATTCCATAACACAAGCTCAGATTCATCCATTATGTACTCACATTCACATTCTCTCTCTCACGCACACACAATTATTCTTGCAAGAACAGAGTATTATTTTTCTTCAAAACAAAGACTCCTTGGTCATTGGTCCAAATAACCAATGCTATTTGCTGCATTTGGTGTTTGCTGAATTTGCACAGCTATTCTCAGTGGCTGCAACCGATGGAGAGGAAGGGCCTCAGCCCAGAGACCCTGACCCTGGGAAAGTCAGCTGAGGACAAGTTCTGGGGAGTTGATGCCCATGTGTGGGGGGCCTCCTTGGCCATTCTGTAGCTTGATGCTGCCTTCTTTGGGCTTTCCCAGCCAGGTCTTCAGCCCTGATGATTTCCTCCCCCTCCAATGCTACCCAGGCCCAATTATTGTCAGGTTTCCGAAAGATGCCATAATTAATTCATGAGCTTCAAGCCAAGTTTCAAAAGAAATCCAGTCATTTATTAGCAACAACATTTCAGCAAAAGTAAGAGCCAAGGTGGCGCAGTGGTTAGAGTGCAGTACTGCAGGCCACTTCAGCTGACTGCTATCTGCAGTTCGTCGGTTCAAATCTCACCGGCTCAAGGTTGATTCAGCCTTCTCCTTCCGAGGTGGGTGAAATGAGGACCCAGACTGTGGGGGCAATATGCTGACTCTGTAAACTGCTTAGAGGAGGCTGAAAGCCCTATGAAGCGGTATATAAGTCTAACTGCTATTGCTATTGCTAATACCCTAGCGGACTCAGATCTGACCTCACGTAAGTTACGGCTGAACTTTGCCTGTTTCCCCCCTCCCCTCAGTCTGTGTCATAAATCACATTATCTAATGATGTGCTCCAGCAGGCTGTAGAATTCTATGCCTCATAAGCCTACAGTGGTAATCCGAGATCTGACTCTAGCTGAAGGTATGCGTGGAATGCACTCCCCCCTTTCCTCATATGGCAACTCGATAACAGACATGGAAATGCTTTACGAGTTGACATTCGGCTGCCCTCACTTCCCGAAACCTGTGCAAAGCAAAAATAATTTGAGTACAGGTATAGGATTTAGGGGTGCATCACACACACACACACAGCTTGTTTGGATTTTCTGCATGTAATTTTGCTATAAGGTGATCAGCCTGGATATTTCTACTCTTTACCCAAGTTGCCTCTGTCAAGGGTTAGCCCTTCCAATTGATTTAAGTATTGGAGTTGTCTCCTGTGCCACCTCTAATCAAAGATTCACTGCACCTCATAATGGGTTTGGCCCAGGGGCTCTTGGAGTAGTGGTCTCAGGGTTAATCCGACCATGGGTTTTAAGAGGCTACTATGGAATAACAGGTGTATTTTCCCTAACAGTCGGGGCAGTTTCAATTGCATTGAGTGGGTTGACGATCTTTATTATGGGGAATGGTCCCATAAACTTTGGCCCCAGTTTCTTGCTAGGGAGTTTTAATCTCAAATATTTTCTGGAGAGGTAAACGTTCTCTCCCACCTGGAAAGGCTATTGTGGAGCTCGGTGTTTATCTGCCTGTTTCTTATAGGTTTGCGCCACTTTAGCTAGTGCTTTTTTTACATTCTCCGAGATTGCTTTCAGCATTGACATTCAATCAGTTAAGCTGACTGAGGAGGGGGGATCCCTTGGATACTCAAGCATTGGGACAAAGTCCATGCCACTCACTACTTTGAACGGTGTTAGTCCTGCGCTACTATGAACAGCATTATTGTACATGACTTCAGCAAAAGAAAGGAGGTCCACCCAATTGGACTACTGATAATTCACACAGCACCTCAGGTACTGCTCTACCATGGCGTTCAGTCTTTCTGCCCCCCCTCCCCCCTCACACACATATTGGTGCTTGGATGTAAAGCCAAGCTAAGGCCCTGGGATGACCCAATGGACCGAAGGAACTCCCTCCACAACTTAGCCATGAACTGGACCCTTCTGTCTAAGATAATTTTTCAAGATGCTCCATGCAGGCGGTAGATGTGCTTCAGGAACAGTTTGGCCAGCTGGTGGGCTGAGAGTAGTCCGCTGCAGGGTATGAAGTGCACCTGTCCAAATCACTGTGTTTCTCCCACTTTTTGGCAACTCTACTATAAAGTCCATTGCAATCTCCTCCCATAGCCTCGTTGGCTCTGCTACTGGCTGCAGCAGTCGGGCGTGGGGTGTCCCTGGTCTTTTCTTCATTGTGGCGCAGATGGTGCAACTTTTCACATAACTGTCCACGTCTTTCTTTATGCCAGACTACAAGAACTGCCTCCAGTCTAGGTGCAAAGTTTTTAGGAATGCAAAGTGACCTGTCAATTTGGCATCGTGGCTCCTCTGAAGGATTAGGGTATGTAGGGATGTAGAGTTTCAACCCCTCCATGCGAGGTCATCTCTTTTTTTCAAGATGTGTTGGTTGTCAAGAAACCAAGGGTCTGCTAGCAGTTCGGTTTTGAGTCTCGTGGTTAGGTTGCTCGCTGGTTGGTCTTGCCGGTTGCGGCATTGTCATCTGGCATTGTCACCTGGGCAGATTTTTTTTTGCATTTTTTTTTTAAAAAAATTAAACAAACAACACAAAAAAAATCATCCTACATTACATCTTGTAGAAAGTGTGTCAATTGGTTACAATTAGCTTTCGTGCATCTCTTCCTCAGTCATTACTTACATTCATATCAAATGTCAAAGTT